TGTGTTGTGATTGCAACGGCATGTTAAGCAATCTGCGAGCCATGCTCTGTGCGCAGATGTCGTAAGCCAACTCCCCTCACTCCCAGGGGGGAGCACCAGACGGATACCGCTCTACACTATGGGCCACGACTTTGTTTAGTGCGAGAACGACCCGAGTTAGCTTGGGTCGCTCATGTGATTTCATGTCGTCCTCACCGTAGGTCTTTGGGAACCGGATCAGGAGTGGGTTAGGGTAAGACGGAAAGCAGAATTTCCTGTCTTCCCCAACTTCCTTCATACTACTCGCACTCTCTGCCGCCGCACGGTTCTCGTCGGTCCTCTGTGCATTCTCTTAAGCCTGTTGTATAGCTCCTCCTTACGAGCACAAAAAGACGCACAATTGCCAGTGCTATCGCTCAAATGCACGTGAGATCTGAGCCCGCAACATTCACGGTGCTCCAAGAGCCGTGGCTTGGAAGACTGCTGACCAACGCTCCAATTCAGTTCACGCAGTCAGCTCAGTTGAGTGGCGGACAGGTGGGCTAACATTCAGGCTGCAACGGTTCCTTCCTGCTGCGACCTCTGTCACTCTCACGCATTTGAGACCCATTCCGCCCACTCCGTGTTTTGTGATCTCCTGGTGTTTGGGTCTGGGGGCCAGGTCGCGCATGTGGAGCACGCAGACAAGTTCACTATATATGTCTGTCATTGCACCCATTCCCCGGACCAGTCAACTGACCGACTCAGACGGTGATACTCTCACGGTGCGTTAAAAGCCATGGCTTGGAAGGTTTTCAACTGACGTGACAAATTGGACCCCGCAGTCGGTCCAATGTGTGTTTGCGTGGAGCGACCGACTGGTGGTCTGAGAGTCAGGCTGCAATACCTCATTTTTAAATGTGTCCTTTATGGCACTCCCACACCTTGGGATTCGAGCCGAGTGTGGCGGCACGCCTAAGGGCGGCTCCGGCCGCGCCAGACGCCTGCGCCCCCTCCTAACTCCGGTCTTCTTGACACCGAGACCAGATGGGGGAGAAGGAGAGAGTGCGGTAGATGCTGCGCTAGTCTATTATCATTATAAAAGAAATCACGCGCAATTCACCATGCCTGCCTCACCATAGTGTGGAGTACATGCCGATAGTCGTAGAGATCTATGGTCGAATTGTCGATAGTAGTAGTAATAAGAGAGGGAGGAGGAGG